AAGGAGAAAGACATTTTGCTGAAAGCGAGGTAATTGAAGAAATTTTTATATGCAACTTTTTACTTAGAAAAATTAAAAAGTGATATCTTTAGTACCTTAGTCTTCGGTATGTTATGTACATCCATGCTACTAAAAATGGGGATTATGTAAAATACAGCCTACAGGGTCTGGCTTACTCTTTTTTTAAATCAAGAAATACAATTAAATTTCACCAAATTGTGTGAGTTAAACAAAATCAGTATTTCATATTTTTCATTTTTATATTACTAATGGTTCATAGATTGTACATCACACAAAAACCAGTGATCACACAACTGCTTTGCTTTATATAAAAAAAATTATCTGTAAGTATTTATTGGAAAAAATCAAAATATGGGACATGAAAAAATTAATGTAAGTCCTCAGACATAATTAAGTTCTGTTGGATTTTAGGTAGATGGTTAAGTCCAATTTGTAATAGCTGATGAAGTTGAAAAATCAGGACTTTTCTTTTAAAAGGCAAACTATAAGTTGCTGTTACCTGTTAATTTGAAGACAGTTATCAGTATTTTGAAGCTGGTTCATGTCTTAAAGATGATTTGTGTATTAAAGTAGTCAGACATTTGTAGCAAATTTCAAATAGTTGAAATTTCAGAATGAGGGTTATTCCTTCTGATTATGTAAGACAGTCTGGACTAAGGGGCAGATTTATGTAAACATGTTAGCTTATTGGAAAGCTACTGGAGACAGGGGTTTTGCTCTACATAAATGTGCTTTATTATGGTAGTCAGCTGAGCTTATTGCCTGCTTACTGCATTTTTGTGAAGGTTCGGATACCTCCTAGAATCCTAAGTCAGGATTAAAGATATGTAAAGTAGAGGGCCTAATTAGATGCCTAAATCTGGATTCGGATATAAATACCATAACTTTAAAGAATGTGTTGTTCCTTTGATTAGCTCTTTGTTATTAATGATCAGCACCCCTGAAAATTAGATTGCTTCTGTTCCATAAATACTGTTTTAATATGGTTTCAGGAGTATTACTTTATAGTAACCAGGTGGAAAATTTTAGTCTATATATATTGCTTTGCAACCCATTTAGCTGAACAAGAGCAATTTCAGATTATTATATCAGATTCAAAGAAACCTTACATTCGGGTAACTCCTACTTTTTTTTTTAATCATCATTCTTGCTGTCTTAGCTTTTGATGTCTTTCCGAAAGTCACTGATCTGCAAGTCATTGTCACCAGCCCTCAATGAAACATATGTTGCATATTTCTAATAATTACCTTGTGATTGCAAGCTACTCAGCAGGGAAAATTGCATCTTCAATTTCTTCTGTAATTAGACCAGTGCCACACGACCGTCTCGTTCTGATGTTGCTTCAGCTTCATCTCTGACGTCCCAAGTGTGTGGGATCTTTTAGGGTGTCTGCCATGCTCAGAAGTGATCACGCATTTGCTTTAAGATTTAAAAAGCCAGTTTTATTGTCTCTGTGTCCCGTTCTGTCTGACACAGAATACTTTTGAGATTCTTGTTGGTGTTTCATGTTTAAAAACTCATACACAACTCAAAAGTGTAATTCGGAGGACCATGTTTACTTTGGAAGGCTTTATGCCTTCTTTCAAAGAACAAGCGTAAATGGCCTGTACAAAAAAACTCTGTGTACCAGGAGCCTTCAAATCTGCAATGGTTATGATTTAAACAGATAACAGCAGTCTTAGGGAAA